GTGTGTGTGTGTGTGTGTGTGTGTGTGTGTGTGTGTGTGTGTGTGTGTGTGTGTGTGTGTGTGAGTTGCTGCTGGTGTGTGATTGAGAGTGTCTGTCTGTACGCTGGTGTTAAGTGGCTCTTCAGACGCTAACAGCTGCAGGTGTTTGATGTCAGATGGGTAAACGCTGCCATCAGTCACTCTAACACGACCGTGTGTGTGTGTGTCGTCTCAGGGTCATTGATCTGGGAGTGATGATTCCCTGCGACAGGATCCTGCGGGAGGCCATTCACAACAAAGCAGGTCAGTTTCTGCGGCTCTCGGCTGATGTTCTCCTCACTGAAGGACTCTTCACATGTGTGACGCTCTGTGTCTGTAGACATCATCGGCCTGTCGGGTCTCATCACGCCTTCACTGGACGAAATGATTCATGTTGCCAAAGAAATGGAGCGTCTGGGCTTGAAGACTCCTCTGCTGATCGGTGGAGCCACAACATCAAAGTACGACACATTCAGTGGATTTTCACCATGCGCTTACATGATAAACTTCAACATTTATGCAGTTTTTATTTAGCCATTAACTCTTGTAAAGATTGTGATCGGTTTCAGTGATTCATTTCCATCATCACTCAGAATAATTCATGAAAGTCTGTGGCATTTTTATAATGTTTTGACTGAATCAATGTCATTATTCGTCCTATATGTGACCCTGCAGCACAAAAGCAGTGTTAAGTCGCTGGGGTATATTTGTAGCAATAGCCAACAATACATTGTATGGGTCAAAATTATACATTTTTCTTTTATGCCAAAAATCATTAGGATATTAAGTAAAGATCATGTTCCATGAAGATATTTAGTATATCTCCTACCGTAAATATATTAAAACTTAATTTTTGATTAGTAATATGCATTGCTAAGAACTTAATTTGGACAACTTTAAAGATGATTTTCTCAATATTTAGATTTTTTTGCACCCTCAGATTCCAGATTTTCTAATAGTTGTATCTCAGCCAAATATTGTCCTATCCTAACAAACCATACATCAATGGAAAGATTATTTATTCAGCTTTCAGATGATGCATAAATCTCAATTTCGAAAATTTGACCCTTCTGACTGGTTTTGTGCTCCAGGGTCACAAATGTGTCTGTTAATTACACTAATGCTAATTTTAAATGATCTGTTTTTCAGATGACTGAGTTGTTTTAGAGAGTATCTTATTATTATGTTTATTTGGCAAAAAAAGAGTCTTGATTATTTTAGGTTTTTACCGTATTGAATGTATTCAGCTGTAGTTACTGTGGTTGAACTGATAATTCAAAAACATTAAATCATCCATTGAAACCACTTTACAGTAAATATACAAATACTGAATATCGTGTGTGTGTGTTGTGACAGGACTCACACTGCGGTGAAAATCGCCCCGCGGTACAGCTCTCCCGCGGTTCACGTTCTCGACGCGTCCCGCAGTGTAGTAGTGGTGAGACGTCTGTCTGTGTCTTTATACAGCAGCAGCTAAAAACATCTGATGATGATGATGATGATGATGACTGTGTGTCTGCAGTGCTCTCAGCTGCTGGATGAAGGCATCCGCGAGGATTTCTTCGAGGAGATCCGGGAGGAGTATGAAGACATCCGACAGGATCACTACGACTCACTGAAGGTCTGACGGTCACATGATCCTGTTAGTGAACCTCTTCATAAAGCAGCTGGTTTATTAGGAAGCGAGAGCTGACGCTGATGTGTTTCCTGCAGGACCGACGGTTCTTGTCTCTGAGTCGAGCTCGAGAGAAAGGCCTCCATATCGACTGGCTCTCTCAACCCAGACCAGGTATCACTGCCTCAACCCTGCTCAACTAGTCTCTAACCGAACTTAAAAGCGCTGTGTGTGATTAGTATGTGCACATAGTCACTGTAAGTCAGTCATGGGTTGTGAAGCAGAAATGTCACTTCAGCTTGGTTTGTTTAGTCCATCATTGTGTTTTGTCTGCAGTGCGGCCGCAGTTCTTGGGCACACATGTGTTTGACACGTATGACCTGCGTAAGCTGCTGGACTTCATCGACTGGAAGCCGTTCTTTGACGTGTGGCAGCTGCGGGGGAAATACCCCAACCGCGGATACCCCAAAATATTCAACGACAAAACCGTGGGTGCGTCTGATTCACTGCAGTAGCGTTGCACGGGGGGTCAGAGGTCAGCGTGGGTGACGTGTCTCACGTGTGTGTTTCAGGAGAGGAAGCGCGGCGTGTGTATGATGAAGCTTTGAAGCTGCTGAACCGGTTGATTGACAGCCGAAGACTGCAGGCCCGTGGACTCCTGGGATTCTGGGCCGCTCAGAGTGACGGCGATGACATCCACCTGTACGCTGATGATGTCACGACACAAACCGCCACACCTGTCGCCACCTTCTACGGCATCAGACAGCAGGTGAGACCGGTGAGCACACAGACAGGTGTTGTGCTGCTCACTCTGACCACTTGGACTGGAAGAGAGCGTATGATTGACATGTAACGTGACCAATCACAGTTAAGTGTCTTTATGTGCTGGATGGATCTGATTTAGATGGGACAGCAATTAGGGCTGCTGGATTATGGCACAAAACATAATCACTATTCATTTGGTCAATATTGAGATCACAATTATTATTATTATTATTATTATTACTCATTGACTTTGGAAACATCATGCATTTATTACATGTAAAATTGCATAAAATAAAGTTTTTGCATCTTTTTAACAGTGGAGCAACTAAAAAAACAAATAAAATATATAATATAAAATACACATAAAATATAATATATATACTTTTATCACATACAGTATATACATTATAAAATATGTATAATTAAAATATAAAACATGAATTAATTTATATATGTGCACACACACAAATAAATATAAAATATAAATGAATTGCATCAAAAATAATGATCTTGTTTTCATAATCTGCAATATTGTAATTAAAAGTAAAATTTGATTAATAGCCTAGCCCTGACCACAATAATAGAGCATTGTGAAGAAATGCATGAAATAATTGTGATGTTTGCTGCATCCTCCTGCAGGCGGAGAAGGACTCCGCGAGCTCCGAGCCGTACCTGTGTCTGTCTGATTTCGTGGCTCCTCGTGGCAGCGGCATTCAGGATTATGTGGGTCTGTTCGCCGTGTCCGTGTTTGGAGCAGAAGAACTCAGCCAGAAGTTTCAGCAGCAGGGAGACGATTACAGCAGCATCATGGTCAAAGCCCTGGCAGACCGACTCGCTGAGGTACAC